GGGGGGGGTCCGCAATATCAATGAACGGGTCTGTTTTCATACATAAGGCGCATTAAGCAGAACAAAACCGTCAGATAAGTTTAACTTTATTCAACTCATTCACAGTAACTCTCAACATTGTTCAGTTGTGCCACATAAAATGCAAAACAATACTCAATTTTGAGCGGCGTGTGCCACAAAACATCAGTTGGAGGTCAGTAAGCACGGGTTATAAGGCTCACTAAGTGCGCCCTATGGTCCAAAAAATACGGTACCTCCTTCACTCCTGGTTACTCTACTGAATGGCCCAACACAAACTAAACTAACAAGAACAGCTAATCACGAAAAGAACAACGCTAAACAGATAACTGCTGTAGTGAACTTAACCTGATGTCAAAACTAAGCCTAAGGTCAAAACCCTTGACCTTAAGAACCTTGTGGGACAGAAACTGTCATTTCATTGATTTGAATCCAGAAATACAGGTTCACCCATCCTGAGACTCTCTTTCTTGAAAATCAAGTGAAAGAACACTCTCTTTTTATTATCATTACTATTTTACAAATGTTGATAATCAAAGTGTCTTAGTTCAAACATTTTAGATGTTGCAGTGAACTAATCAATTTTATTAACTGTGAAACAGTGTAATGATTTTTTAATGCTTATGCAGAGTTAGAATTCATGTTAAGGCCTGTTACAGATTTTTATGCATTTTCTGATTTCTGTCTTTGAATGAGCAAGTGTGCGTTTTCCAAGGTCAGGAGTCGAAGCAGACATGTGTCTTGTTTACATCCTCTCAGACGTCAACGGAGAAGTTGGCACCTGTTTCTAAAACTCGCCAAAACAAAACTCTCTCTGTCTCTGAGAACAGTTTAATCTGTTCCATAACAATTCTTGCTGTTTTCTGACTTCTAGTAACCTCTTACGTCACAAACCACACCCCTGTCTGGTTGATTTCGACCAATCAGGGACGCTCAAATATACCGGAAATAGAGCTCTTTAAATTGCCGGTACTTCCTAGTTCTCTCAGTTCGGTGAGGCGCTGAGAAGTTCTGAGATGTTCGCAGTTCTGTGAAGTCGTTTGGGAGAACAGAAGTCCAGCCATGATAAGGCTCTTCCGAGTTTGGATTATAACATCTTCCACCTCTGAGTGGAACTTCTGAAGGACTCCACTCATGTGAAGTCCACTTGCTGAGGTGAGCTGGTGTCGGACGGAATCTCGTCACTACTTCGGACGAGTCACAGCCATCCTATGGAGACGCTGGACAGGTAGCGTTAACTGGAACTCCATATCTGCTGATTTATCTTCAGAAAGGTAATGAGTCAAGTTCCCTACCAAGCGTACCGAGGAAAAGCTGGGTTCGAATGGAGAGTGTCGGTTCTGGTCAACAATCCCCCTCACATACCATCTTTTACTCCCTTTAAACTTCATTTCCATCTTTAAATTCTTCTCTCAAGTAGAAATCCTTCCAGATAATTTAGAAATATCTGTGTAAAGTGCTCATCCACCACCGTGTGGATAATTGATCATAATTGTACAGTTTTCATTAATGTCTGCTGTTCTGCTGAAGAGTGGAAACAATCGCCGTGTTGTTTCTCACTACCTGTAAAGCTGTTAATTATGTTGTTATTTTCATATTTTGCCAAATTAATGTAAATGTTTGATGTTAAACTTTGATTCTGTAAAATAAATGACCGCATTCATTTTGATGGGTCAAAGATAAATAACGTCTCACGTTTGCATTTCATTAAATTCAATGCACGTTTTATTCAGTCCAGAAAAATGAAGAATCCGTTTTAATTGATGAATATATCTCTGCATCTGTTCATCTACACTGCAATGATTAACGATGAACGCATTTTACCCATAATCCCTCCCTGGGGCCATGTGACTGACAGTCAACCACAGCAGATTGCTACAACACGTACCTGTAACACACAAATACGTACGTTTTCTGAACCGTGCCGGTAACACGGCTAGTAAAAAAACAAAATGCAGTAGTCTACCACGAAGTGATTGATCGCCATCTTCATACTCCTCCTGCGCACCGCCCCCCCCCCCCCCACCTGGGGGCACAACGGGGAGTGGAGGGGAGGAGAGAATGGGCAGTGGGGGGGTTGAACCCCAGTGGATCAATGAAACCAATTTTCATTGGTTCACTGTGACCTGTTCCGTAATTTCATTGGTCATATTTATTATTTTTTTTAACCTTTATTTATACAGGTAGTCTCAATGAGTCACAAGGACCCACCCCCTAAGAGGGACATGTACTGGGCAACTATGTGAGCACCCGGTTGTGACGAGGTTGAATGTTTTTGGCGGCATGAAGTTTGTTAGCCCGTCAAAAAAAAAAAAATCCATAAATTAGCCGTGGTGTTCAAAGCGTAGCGGCTTATAGTCCAGAAATTACAGTAGCTTCCTGAAATGATTGGGGTGGCCACTGATAAATTTATGGTGGACAAGGCCACCAGTGGCCACCCCCTGGCTCTGCCATTGGCGGTGGCCACTCCCTCCTCTCACCTACCACTTGAACATCTTTCACCAAAAACATTTAGGTTTTCTTGCATTCTCTTCAACTCCAGTCCAGAAAAACACTCAAACTACAAACATCCACTCAGCGACGGGAACATGGGCTTGTTAAATTATTATTATTATTTAAAATAGATATTTAAACCTGGGGGGAACAAAAGTTACTCTTTTTACCTTCACATTCACATCGGTTTGTTGTTGCACCGACGGCTGATCTTAAAAGTTGACTTTTGCTCTAATGTAAATGCCGCAGATAATTATGTTTCATTCCACGTTATATAATCAAGTTGTGTTTTTTCTCGACTACACTGAAAACACAAATGTCATTCTTTCTCAATAATACGCTCCGTGTGATAAATACATAAAGCTGCTGGAGTTTAATGTCTCTGCTATTTATTGCATTACCAAAGGAGCAAACAGAGCGCCAATAAAACCAGGAGAGCCAATAACGAACCAATAATAGATGCTCTGAGAGATATTAGTCAGCCTCTTCTCTCCCTGCAGACGGCGGCGCTGAAGCGTGTTCGTCTCCGACTCCTGATGCTAATGATGATGATGAGGGCAGCGGTGGAGATGACGCCAGCACCGCCCAGCTCATCTACCCGGGCCTGCAGTTCTGCGCCAGCCAGTACACGGACCGAGTTTATTTGTACTCCAAGGTACTGTCGCCTGTCGGAGGGTTTGATTTGCAATGCTAATACTGAGGTTAGCTAAAAGAGCGACGTGTGTAGAGTGGCTCCGTCCTTTTCCGTCTTATTCTTGATTCATTCAACTCGACGTCGAAAAAACGGTGATGAAAATTGTTTTGAATTGGATTATTTGTTGCTCAAAGTTTGTCTCAAGGGGATCAAACCTTTTTCTGACGTGCAGGAGTTAAAGGTTCGGTCCTTCACCAATTGTAAGATAAAATAAGATAAGATAGAACTTTACTGATCCCACAGGAAATTGTTGTGCCAGATCCAATAATTCTCAGTCGGGTCATCTGGGCAGTTTCTTTTTTATAGAAACGTTTCACCCTCTATCCAGAGGGCTTCATCAGTCAGAGGAGTTCCAGTAAACTGTTTCCCCACCAAGCTGTAAACTCCTTAAGTGGACCAACCAGTTTGCTGGAACTAAGATGGTTTCTGGGGGCCGTCCTGTCCCTCGTCGACTCCTCCCAGGCAGCCAACGTGGTTCATGCTCAATCTGATCATGAACTTTGTTGCCTTGAACCACTTTGGCTGTGGCTGCCTGCCTGGGAGGAGTCGACAATAATATCCATCCATCCATACATCCATCCATTCTCTTCCACTTATCCGGGGTTGGGTCGTGGGGGTCACAGCCTAAGTAGGGAGGCCCAGACTTCCCTCTCCCCAGCCACTTGGTCCAGCTCTTCTGGGGGAATCCTGAGGCGTTCCCAGGCCAGCCGAGAAACACAGTCCCTCCAGCGTGTCCTGGGTCTTCCTCTGGGCCTCCTCCCAGTGGGACGTGTCCGGAACACCTCACCAGGGAGGCGTCCAGGAGGCATCCTAACCAGATGCCCGAGCCACCTCAACTGGCTCCTCTCGACGTGGAGAAGCAGCGGCTCTACTCTGAGTCCCTCCCGGATGATCGAGCTTCTCACCCTGTCTCTAAGGGAGAGCCCAGACACCCTGCGGAGAAAACTCATTTCGGCCGCTTGTATCTGAGATCTCGTTCTTTCGGTCACAACCCAACGCTCGTGACCATAGATGATAATGAATAATAATAAATTATCTTCAATCTTCCAACCCGCTTGTCATTAGCTATGTGCTTCTCAAGTTAGCAAGCTAACGTTTAGCTAACCTAGCATAGGCTATTTCCCTGTAAAACTTTATCCAGAACAATAAATCTAGTACACACCCCAAACAAGGCAGTCGAGACATTGATCGTGATATTTTTTTAGTTTTTGTCAAGTAGTGACTCTGTGTAATTTTTTTGTTTTGTTTGCAACAAGGGCACTTGGCCTAAGAGGAAGATCGACTGTTTACATCAACAAAAGCACCTGACGATGAAGGTGTCGTGTATAAGTGCTATGTGTTGTCGTCATCGTATGTTCCCATACAATGACAGTGGTTTTCTGCATTTAACCCATCGCACCTGAGATGCACCAGGTGTAGCAGACAGCTGTGTAAGCGCCCAGGGAGCAGTTAGGGATTGGGTGTCTTGCTCAGAGACACCATGACATTTGGGCATAGCAGGGAGTCGAACCATCTCGGCCCCGGTTTAAGGGTGTATTCTGCAATCAGTCTGCTTTAGTAATTGAACCTTCTGATTATTCCAAACCCTAGTTTAACCCTAGTGTGACTATAATTACACTCCTGCTCATTCTTGGCACCCCACTTGAGTGGCACTTGCCAGCAGACCTCTGCATTGATCGCGTCGCGGCACTTAACGCCCTTTTGTTTCATTCATGAGGGATCAAGATCCTTCCCCGCTAAAGCAGATAAGAGACAAGAGGGTTTCAAATAGAGAAGACCGAAGCGCTGAACTGAATCACCAGTGGAATATTTCCCTGACGGCAACAGACAAGTGTCATGTGCGCCTGGCTGAGATGATAAGCCGTGGAGATAAATGTCCCCCGATGTCGTTTAAATGATAAACTGGAGGAATTCTGGCTGGAAAGCTGTCACATCGGGATAATCCTGGACCAGGCGTAGAATCCACTTGGGGGACTGTTCAGTGCACAATCAGATGAAGATTTGTCATTGCGGCTTGAGAGGAAATATTGAGAGCATTAAGACCTCCGTGTCTATTTTCCACACATCAAACACTTGTTTTATTCTTGGATTCTTGCTCTCGGACTGGTTGGTGCTGCTTACTGTCAGCTCTGTACTTTAGGATGACTCAGACACACAACATGTTGGGGTAAGCAGATTTTCCTGTGCTGTGGCTTTTATTTTTACGTGTTAAAAGAAATAATATAAGTTTTCAATTAAAAAGAAGTGTAGGCATTGGAAAGAAAGTGCAACACCTTGTTACTCATGTAGCTGTAAATGTGTCTAAATGCATAATGTGGTCTGACAAGAGTGTAACAGTTAGTTACTGTGTCTAAAACATCTTGGATGTTCAGCTTCTGCACCAAGTCAGCCTTGAGCACAAAACCTAATTGTCCCCCGCTGCAACGTGAAGAGAGGAATTTGGAAATACCCTCCATCCGTCCAGGCATGTTGAGCATAACTTGAAAAAAAGGTGAGGTGCTGACTTATATTGTGGTGTGTGGCTGCATCGAAGTGTAAGAAAGGTCACGATTGAAAATTGGGCGACCGTATCAAAATCCAAAATGGCCACCGCCATATTATATGTTTGCATGTGTAAACCGACCACACCAATCATTTGAGTTTCTTCAGATAATTGTAATGGCCGGTGGGATGGACAAAGGTTAATTTACACTGCTGCCCCCCCCCCCCCCCCCCCCCCCCCAAAAAAAAAAAAAAAACCTCTCCACCTGGATTTAACTCAAGAACTCAAGGGACTGGGACTGAACAGCGGTTTAGTCTTAAGAAAACCACTAACCAGTGAGGCTAACTGGAAAAAAGGCTTCAATTTGCTAGGGAGCATAAAGATCGGACTTTGGAGCAATGGAAGAAGGTCATGTGGTCTGATGAGTCCAGACTGACCCTGTTCCAGAGTGATGGTGCATCAGGGTCAGAAGAGAGGCAGGAGAAGTGATGCACCATCATGAAGTGATGCACCATCGTGACCAGTGTCTCGTCATCAATGAAAGATCTTGGTGAAACATTAATGCAGCACTGGATGAAACCGATCTTGTGACGTTGCAGAAGTTTATTGAAACAATGACACAGAGAATGTGTGCTGTGATCAAAGCTGAAGGCGCTCCAACCAAATATTAGTCTGTGACCTTTTCTTTTTTTTGGCCAGGCAGTGTACGTTGGCCACGGCCACCAATGGCCACCCCCGACTCCACCATTGCACCCAGTGGTGGATAAAAGTTTTCATTCAGCTCACCAGGATTCATCACTCCACGCTGCTTCAGACAAGGAAAAATATATATAAAAACAATAAACCTACCTCTGTTTTATACAAACGGTAACTTTTAACTAACTTGGTAACTTGGATTTGTTGCACCACAAACAATAAGGATTACTTGAAATCCCTGATGGTTTCCAGTCCTGAACAAAACAAACATTCACTATTGAAATGTCTCAGCGATGGGGCCCACCGCTTGTTTAATGAAGAGACTCCTGCTCAAACCAGTGCATCAGAATTGGATCTTAAAACTGGGATTCCCATTGTAGAACCTCACAATATTTGAGGGTTTGGATTAACACAATTAAAGTCCATGTTGCTTTCAGAGTTGCTGATTTTTATTTTTTACAGTTCTTAGGGTTATCCTTCTTTTGAGCCATTTTCCACTTCTTATCCAAGGTTGCCACAGAGGTTGTAGGTCCAGACATCTTTTTTACCACTGACACTTTCCAGCACTTCCTGGAGATTCCTACCAATGGGTCTGCTCTGAGGTCTACTCTATGAAGGACGTTTCTGAAAACTGATGGGAGGCAACCAAAAGGTAATCTAATCAGATGCCCAAAGCACCTCTGCAGGCTTGCTTTGTTGAGAAGGAGCAGCGGTTTACTGTACTCTGTGCCTTTCCCGTATCACAGAGCTTTTCACGGAGCTGACCCTACAAGGAAACTCAATTCTGCCACTTGTATCTATCATCTCATTCTTTTGGTTGTGATCCATATCTGTTGCCCATCAGGAAGTGTTGGGCATAGATGGACCAGTTTGGTTCTGCTCCTTCTTTACCAGTAATGATTGGAGCCATGCCCTCATTACTAAAGAGAAATCCCTGGTTGGTATATCCATCTTCCGTTTCATCCAGCCATCACTTTTAAATGACACTAACAGGTACCTGAAATCCTCCTTTTGAGGCAAAAGACACTTCTCTAAAATTAGACGCGTTATGACTGCACAGTGCCACGTAGGATCCTGCCAATGTTGCACTTTTAAAACGCCAAGCAAGGTAGTAACAGAGCCGTAACCGTTGACATGTCTAAAGGCATGCCTTAATAACAGGAAACCTGTTCTTTACCAAGGAGAAGATTGATAAGGATGCACGTGAACTTAACGTGGCCACAAAGAGGATCACTGACCCAAACGTTCTTCACACCTATAACACACAGGTGGACCCTCAGGACCCTCTCGTTAACCCTCAGGTTTTACAAACTGCGTTGTGATAGTCGGTGCTTACGCCCTTTCCACTTCACGTCTCCTTTAGTTTATCCCGTCACTTGCATTTTGCAGATGGATACCTTTCAGTTGTCCATTTGTCACAAGATGTACCGATGTCAAACGTTTAAACCTTTTGATTCCCACCTTTGTCCAATCCAACTCTTCCATGGATGAGCGCTGTTGTAGCTGTTACACGTCTAACTGGTTCAGCTCATCTGTTTTTCTGTATTCAAGCGTGTTTCATTGCACCCACGTCTATACTGAATATATAAGGAGGAAAGTTCATGCATTTTTGTTTCCTCGTTCCTTATGATCTTTTTGGAGGTGCAGACAGACACACATTTAGCGAGGCTCTAATCCTGCTTCGTGCTGTTACAGCGCAACCAGCTGCACCAGTCCCCTGACTCCTCGTGATATTTATTTTACCATAATCCAAACAAACACGAGGTCTCTCCGGCTGCAGCGCAGCAACGACTTCCCAACTTT